TCCTCCCACAATCTAAAACTCTCAATGCCTACTCTGATATTTTACTGCACTTATGGCACGTTCTTACAAGTATTTCATTCCTGCTTCCGTACTTTGTAGAGTTCCAAAACAAAACGGCTGCATCGCCCCCAGCCAACCAGTACACACCTATAATCACACTCCCTTGTCGCCCGAAGTCAAATTCCCCGCCCGCTTCCGCACCTTCGATTCCGCCCCCTGCTCACCCCATCCGCCCCCCCCCCCTTACCCGATTCAAACATTCTCAATCTCACCTCTGTCACATAGGCACACACCGTACCCTGGCGCCCCCCCTGTCAGACCGTATTCCCTCCTCGACGTACTTGTTATCCCGCGCCCCGAAAAACCCCATCCTCCGCCCTACATCTCCATGGCGAGCCCGTCCCTGCAATCGTCCCGCCGAGCCCGCTCCGAGTTGGAATGGCCGCAGCCCTCGCCTACACTTCCCTCAGAACCCTCAACCGCAGATGGTGCCGTGCTCACCGCCCTTCTCGCCCCTCGTGCGCACACACTCATGTCCGACTCTGCAGTCTCGGAAACCTCTCACGACGCGCCCTCCCCGTTCTCGCGCCCCTCTCCGACGCTCGCCAAATCAACCACCCCGCCCGACCGTGAGCCTCGTTCGTTGGGTTCTTTCCGTCATGATGCCCCACGCTCCTTCTCCGGCTTTCACGATGGAGAGCCGCGCTCCTACGGCGAGACCCGGGTACGCCGTAAGGGATTCATTCCGCTCGTGCCTGCGCCGCAGGAGCCGCGCTCGCTTGGGCCGCTGTACGCGCCGGTGGCATCCGACCCGCGACGCGTGCCGTCGACCACGAGCAGCCAGGGCTTGTCGTGGCATCGACGGGGATCGGAAACGAAAACGATCGCTTGCGCACAAGAAACAACAGTCACCACCACAACCACCACGGTCACAACAATGACGACGCGATCCGCCGTGGCTCCAGAGACGAGGCAGGTGCCATTGGTAACCAGAGCGAAAACGGGCAAGGTGAGCTACCGGAGGCAGAGGAAGACAGTGTCGAATCTTGGACTAGATGGAAGGCAGGAATTGGGGACTGGGAGGGAGAAGAAGGGCAGAAAGGGGTCTTATATGACAGGGTTCGCTCGTAGAAAGGGGTCGGCATTTGGGTGGTTGGGGGATGAGAGGAGACGGAGTACTTTCAGGGAACCGGTAGAGGCGGTGCATGAGCAGATTGAGCTCAAGGGGTTTGGGCGATATTGGTGGAAGGACGCGGTAGTGCTGTACACCAACAGCATGCGAGCTGAGTTGAACGACCTAGTGTTTCTCACGGGTTGTCTGCGGTCGCGGTCGGGCGAGCGCGGGCGAAGAGGGGGCAGACACAAGAAGATCGAGATCGACTTTGAGCTATGGTTTGCGCGGTTTGCGTCGTACACCGAGCTGATGCTGGACGGGTTTGAGCGGATCCTTTTCGGGCACGTGACGCAGCTGCTGCAGCAGCGCGACGTGATGATCTCGCGGCCGATCGCGCTGACGGAGGCGGCCGGGCGGTCGTACGTGCAGCTGTGGGGCGCGACGATGCGCAAGCTCAAGACGCGGATGGGCGAGGCGCGCAGCGGGGTGCGGCGCGTGGGCGAGGAGTTGGTGCGCGCCGACGCGACGCAGTGGGACGCGGACGGGCAGACGTGGGGCGAGGTGGCGCAGGCCGTGTGCGCGCTCGTGACGGCTGTCGTGCCCGTGCTCGACGACGTCGACCGCGAGGTCGCCGCGCTCCTCCGCCTCAGCGCCGACGGCAGGAAGAGGGCGAAGAGGGTGTACGCAGAGTTCGCTGTCGTGCTCACTAGGGGCGGCGAGGTGCCGCTCGGATGGTCAGGCATCATTACGGCTACGAGATGGATGGCAGATCGCAAGGTTAGATCCGAGCATACCGGGATGATGGCGCGGTGCTCGAGGCAGTCGCTGTTTCAGAGGTACCGCGCGGATAACTCGCACCATACTATTGTTAAGATCCATCGGGCGGCTGAGGCGGTGGAGGGGAGAAGACGCGGGTTGTTTTCGTAAAACTTGTGTGTTTCGTTTCGTTGTTGTTTTTGTTTTGTTTTTGTTGTGTTTGTTGCCGCGTCCGCTCACGTGCTGTTCTCGTTCTGAAGCGCAAGCAAGCATCCTTTTACTCTTCGATCTGGCTACCGTAAATCCTTTGAGGGTTCGTGAAGCGGAATCCTTTGCGCTGTCAAATCGCTCCTAACCCTGTAAGGTGAAGGACCCTGCAAGCGTTTCGCTTGGATTTAGTTGTAAACTGTAAGGGTCGTGAAGCAGAACCCTTTGCTCAATCGAATCGTTCCTAACCTGAGGATCCAAGCCCGAGGACCCTGCATGCGTTTCGCTTCGATATACTGTAGTTGTAAACTGTAAGGGTGTTGGAACGCAACCTTTCGCTTCGAATCGATGGTGACGCCCAATTGTACAGCAAGCATTGGGCAATTAAGTCGGCCTTTCCATCTGGCATGCGATGCGACAACTGTGCACGCAGGTACCCTTGGTACGTAATGTGCAGAATGATTGATGATTGTGCAATGGTGCATCGCAGACAGCAAACTTGCGGCAGACCAAGGCATGTTGAAGCGAAAGGCAAGTTAATTTTACCCCGCGTGCCATTACCGCCGTCGACACTGTATATCACTGTACCAAGGGTACCCTTGGTACAGTACAACAAAACTGTACATACAGTACCGAGGTACAACACTGTCCTGTACTGTACAAGGCTGCATTGTACAAGGCTGCATTGTACAATGCTGCACAGCACTTGTGCGGTAACCTTACCCTTGGCACGCAGGAAGGCGACCCAGGGCGAAGCGAAAGCACCTTGTATTGCTTCGCGGCGGCGCGTGCATGCCGCGCGCTGCCAGATCGTATCGGGCCATCGGCGATCCGCAGTCCAACTGATGTCAGTTGGACAACACCCCCTTCCTGCGCCCTATAACCTATAGGGCGCAGCAAGGGGGTGCTGATAGGCTATAAGTCCACCGCCCGCGCGCCACCTGTCCTACCGCCATCAAAAAGCCGCCATTTTGATCTGCCTCGCCCGCACCCCGCCGCCCGCACTGTAGCAATTAACAATCAGCCACTCACCCACTCGCCTCTCCGCAATGCTTCCTTGTTTGCTCTACTCTTGTATCTACCGCCCATTCCCTATCCCCCCCCCCCGTGCCCCAGAGTACTCCAGTTTCCGGGTGCAGATCTTCCGACAACAGTCCGTAGCGGTTTCGAGAAGCAAGGAGTGAATCAAACAGTTCGCGTGCCTCATCATGCCGTCCGATAGAGGCCAGGGCGTCAAGGTACCAGAACTTGATCACAAGAAAGGCTGTTTCAGGCTCACCGAAATCGTCAGCTGCAGCATAGCGAAGCATGTGTCCGTTACGATTTAACTCGCGGCCAATACACTCGACAGTACTGACAAAGCGCGGATCCTGCGCCTCAATAAAGCCAAGGTCATTCATCAACAAAACACTCGCATCGAGGTCTTCCGTCCCGATAGCTGCGGTGAATGCCTGTCGCTTATCACTCCAGCATTCTTTCATGATGCGATCACGAATATG